AAAATAGATGGAACGTACAGGGAGATGTTTGAGGCATGGAATAGAGAGGAAAGGACGGTAGCTGTAGTGGGGCATAGGAGGTGGGTTGAAAAGGCGGGAAGGGATATCGTTAGGATAGACTAGGGAAGACATTTTTGAGCCACCTTTGGCAAAGTAGAAAGGAACGATTGGCCATCGGTGCTCGGTCCTGTGGGAACAATGCTCCGTCCTCTCGAGGACGCGTGGTCAATGGTCTAACCGCTAAGGCATGCAAAACATAAGAGTACGCCCCCCCCCGCCCCCCAAGGAACGATTGGCCATCGGCGATCGGTCCTTTGGGGACAATGCCCCGTCCTCTCGAGGACGCGTGGTCAAAGGTCTGACCGCTAAGGCATGCAAAAGATGAGAGTGCGCCCTTCCCCGCGCCCCCCCCCCCAACTCAAATTCCATCCATCTATTGCGATGACATGCACCACGACAGGTTGGTTGGCGGTTTCTCCCCTCTTGGGGGCATACACGAGGTCGGCGACGGAGACGCCCGGGGGCGCGGCGAAGGCGCTCCTGCCGGCGTGGGGGATTTCCATCCCGGTGGGCATCTTCTTGCGGGCCCTGTCGAAGGGGGGAGAGGTTCCCCCGGTCCCCTTCGCGGTGACGTCGATGATCTTCACGCTGGCGGCGCTGATGGCCTGGCGGCAGCTGTACACGGCGATAAACCCCACGGGGGAGGGGGACAAGCAGGCCGGGCTGCTGGACGGGTTCCGGATGATCACGACGCTGTTGCAGCGGTGGTGAGGGCCGGGAGAGAACAGGAGAGTTTCGAGAAGGCATACAAGTAGTCGTACCGGATGATCGCGACCCTGTTGCACAGCGGTGGAGACGGCCCGGAGAGAACCGGAGATAGCTTGTACAAACCACTGCTGTAGCTCCACCTCGGAACTGAGGTCGGATTGGATTCCACGACACAAGCGGTGCCGCGGGTGCAAGGTATGAGTAAGCACGCAGTAGTGAGTGTGGTTTGTGTTCGACGGACGGCTACGATGCTGCTGCTGCCGTTTCCTGCGGTGCGGGGCGGGGCGCAAGACACCACCACCAGCCGCGTGTCGGCGGTAGACGTGAGCGTGTCAAACAAGGATAAGACCACGGCGTTTTGGTTGGCGGAGATCGTGAAGGAAGACGACGCGTGACCCATAGTGTCCTACCGGTCGTGTGTCGAGTACTCCCTTCGCTGACGGAGTTAGGTGGGATCACAAGGGGGGCGGCGTTGAGAAGCTGTGTGCGTCGGTGATAGAGGCAAGCACCTCAAGCTGGAAGACCGGCCAAGTGGGCCCAAAGAGGGTACCCTGTAGGCTGACTTGATGTGCTCTTGAGTCCGATCGGTAGGTCCCGTCATTATTATTTTTGTGCGGATCGCACGCATGCCCGTAGCTTGCAGATCGCTGAGAAAGAATGCCACACCGGGCGTTAGAGAACACCGTATCGTGGTACGGACGAGTTGAAGCATGGGATGGGTGGTATGGGTGGGGGTCCCGGCGATGACGACGTCCTTGGATCGCGGGTGGGTGGTTCATGGCCATTGCACTCAATGGAACACATTTTCCTTGTTTGCAAGATATATTGATGGATTTGACACGAGAGACAGACGGTCTGATGCGCCAAGGAAAATTCTCATACCCTTCTTTTGGGGCGACAGTTCAACAAAGATGGGAGAGGGGGCTGCACGTGTGGCATGCAGAAGGAGGTCCACTTTCGTTCGTAAATACACAATTTCAGACTGGGGCTCCAAACTTTCCGGTTTAGATTTTGAGGCAAGAAAGTTTCCTGGAAACTTCGTGCAGGTGAAAATTTTCAGATTTAAGCGGCTTCATGTGATTGGCTGTGGGTCAACAGTCCTCCCACGAACGTCCCCTGTCCGCAGGTGCTTTTTGTTTTTCGTGTTGCGCTGCGGGACAGCTAGCCGTGCACCTTGCTTGACGACAAGGGGCTCTCACTGCTGCTGCTGTTGCGTGTGCGTGCATGCGTGCGCGTGTCCGTGTCTGCGTCGCTCCCTCAACCCCAGCACACGAAATCGCGCCACACCAGTACCGAGACAGGAAGTGATTACTGTACACTGGCCGACGACAGCCTCTGAACGAAGTGCTATGTTGCGTTTCAAGCGTTCGGGAGAGAGACAGGGGGTTTGGGACCGGGAGGCGCATCCGAGTCAAACGCTCTTCTTTCTAGTAGACTCCAGAGAAAATACTCTTGCGCGCGGAAGGACGCGCCCGCCTTCACCAGGAGGCCACTACGCGCTCTCCCTCCTCTCTGCTCTTCTTTGCGGGCGGTGTTGCCACCACCTCTAGGTTCGTGCGCTCTTCCTCCCACCTGCCTCAATCTGACGGGCGTGTTGCTAACCTCAAGCCAGCCGCAAACAAACCCAACTTTTTGACCGTGCAGACTTCCTGTTGTGTTGGTGGCGCGCCAACTCCAAGGCCTTTCGCTGGGCGCTGGCCTTCTCTTTGGCCGCGCTGACATGTTTACAGCAGACTGCTGTGTGTTCGTGCGGTGGTGCGTGTATGTGTTACTTCGAAGAAAGTTGCTAAATCGAAAAATCGTGAAAAAAATTCCATAAACCACGCGCTTAAATCTGTAACTTTTTTTCCTTGTAGGTTCTGGGGAGACTGCCAGGAGCGATCCTCAGAATGAAGGCTTAACTCACAGTATGTTTCCTTATTTCGGAGAATTTTTGAGTCCGAAACTGTCAAATAACATGAAAAATAGATGAAATCAATAAACAAAAAACTGTGTACGAAGAATACACTCCGCCGGCAACAAGATGTTTGAGTCAAGAAGCACAGCTCAGCATATTACAAAGCGGTTTATGCTCTACGGGTGGCGACTTAATTGAGCTTTAATCCGGACTGGGTTTTCTGGATAGCGGGCCGTGCTGTAGCTGATCTAGGAAAACAAGGGCGCATTCGGACAACAATCCCTGTTAGTTTGGCCGTTTTCGTTGTCGGGCCAGGGGCAAGAACAACCAGCCCGACTGCACGCGTTGTTTGGGTACAGCCCGCGTTCCGATGGACAACTAGCGGGCATAAATACCACAGCTCCCATCACCCGCACCAAGAGAGGTGGGAGGTGAAGGGAAGCTTAAACCGAAGCTGGCGAATGATATGGCGTGCCGCAACAGAAATTTGTAGAATAATTTACACAGACAATAAACACAAGCGACCAACATCCTAACCCCACCGCCACCACTCCAAATGAAATTATCCTGGTCAAGATATAGTCACAGGTCATGCCGCGTTCAGCTCAGCTTCCTTACCCCCTCTATCTCCATTCCGGTCTCTCGAAAATAGAAAAAAAAAAAAGTTTATCCTCTTCTCTCGTCGACGCCCCCGCTGATAGAAGAAGCATTTTTTACATCATTATCTCCTTGAGCTTTGCGAGGACTTGAACAGGGTGCTGCTCCGCGCCAATGACCTGATGGAAGTTTCGAGCCGTTCAGACATGCGTACGTGTTGGGGGCGGGCGTGTTCATTTTTGTTGTCTTACGTAACCTAGCAGCGTCACTTGACCTCTGGCCATCCACCCCTGTCCATGATGGAGATCACGCTTCGTTCGATCGTATTCCTATATACACAGTAGAGAGACACGCCGACGTGTGAGCGCTCTTTGCGTTCCTGGAGAGGGGGAGGGGGGCGGGGTACTGAACGTCGTGCATGCCTTAGTCGTTAGGGAGGAAGGGGGGGGGGGGCGTACTCTTATGTTTTGCATGACTTAGCGGTTAAACCATTGACCACGCGTCCTCGAGAGGACGGAGCATTGTTCCCACAGGACCATCGCCGATGGCCAATCGTTCCTTTCTACGTTGCCAAAGGTGGCTCAAAAATGTCTTCCCTAGTCTGTCTATCCTAACGATATCCCTTCCCGCCTTTTCAACCCACCTCCTATGCCCCACTACAGCTACCGTCCTTTCCTCTCTATTCCATGCCTCAAACATCTCCCTGTACGTTCCATCTATTTTTCCCAGCTCAGTCACGTACACTTCCCTCTCCTTCTTGTACAACGGACATTCCGCGACTACATGAACACGGTCTTCGCATTCGAAGCCGCAATCACATTTGAACTCGTCGTCTTCCTCGTCTACCGTCCTATGTCTTCGTCGACGTTCTCGAAGGCCTATGTCCCCGGTCCTGAATTTGACCTTAAGCTTTGTTCCTGCATCCATTGGTCCATGTAGGTAGTCCTTGAACCCTATTCCTTCCTTCAACATTCCGTACACTTCTAGACCCTCCTTATCCTTGGATTCTTTCCTCAGATTCTGTTCTTCTCTCTCGGCACAAGCAACAGATATCTTCTCCTTGAACCCCTGTAGACCCTCCGTTTGCAGCGTTTCATCTTCGTCGATGTTGAGCCCCTTCCATACGTCCACTACAACCTTGACCCATTCCGTGGGTTGTCTACCCCTCT